TAGCATAACATACTATTGCAGATGATGTTGAAAAACTAATATCAAATGAGCTGGAATGTTCAGGGATCGGATTTTCAGCAACTGTCCAGAAATTTGTAAGACAGAGGAAATTCAGAATGATAATCATGGGCGTCGCCATGTTGGATAAAATGTAGTTGGTTTACAGTGAAGTATTAATAAGAACAGTACCTCTGTCCATTCATAGTGTAACCACAAGACGAACCTGGACACTAGTTTGTTGCATCAAAGATTTGGAGCTTTACTAAGCTGTATTAAAATAGTAGGGTTGTATTATTTTTCACGACGAGATGGCCTGCGTCGATCGTTCTCGATCCCGAGGGACAGGGACAAAGATTTGAAGTTAATGTTTTCTAAATTCCTGTATAATATCATGACTTAAATGTTGCTATAACATTTGACACGGAAATATAATAAAAGAGTGTTCAGGAACTTCTTTTACATGAAATTACTTAAACTACGCGTTTGATTGACACATATACTTGGACTTTCACGAAGTAATCTTTATCCTTAATACTTAAGAAAAGTAGAAACTTTGTTGTGTATAAATGAAAAATATTAAAACTATAATCCAGAAAGTTCAGAGTAGAATTGAAAGAAAGCAAAACCAATTAACCTGTATTGTCAATCCGTGCTCAGTGATGTGTGCAGCGTTTAACAAATTGAGCAAACCTGGTGAAACGTAAATTTTAACATTAACAGAGCTCGTGCCCTCTTTTTAAAAAAACACAAGTGTTTAACGTGAAGTAAAGAATAATGTCGTTGTCATTGAATTCTAAGAATATTCATGTAAGTTCAATTCATTTAACTGGTTTTATTTTTTGAACAAACAGAGAAAATTAAAGAGTAAACAATGCAACTGTGTCCCCTTTAATTGTCTGAAATAAGTGTTAATCTGGCCATTCTTTATATATAAGAAAGATTTCTTAAGGATTGATATTTTTTTAATTTGTGCGTATACATACATGTATGTCTTATTAAAATCCCCAATTTCATTTGCCGGATATCATAGCATATTGTAAATTCATGGAATGTCATATGGCACAAGCTAATCACCCCTCCCCCACTTACCACACACACTCATATGCAAAATTTTACCAGTTAGCTGTATGGCCCAATCAGATGCGAAAGATGAGAGAAACTGAATCAGACGAATATCAGATTTTCTTTAGTCTCCATTTTTTCAGACCAACAAATGATTTTTTTCAGCTTAAACAAAAAACATTCTCTTTTATCATGGTCAAAGTATAAAATTCCAATATTAAACCATTCCCGTAATGGTACGGAAACCAACACTCTATTCTAAGAGCAGATATTTAATGATTAAAATTATTGTCAACTATATATATTCAAGTAACCCCACCCTAGACCTGTATTCTACTCATATTTATGGCCATGGATATTAGTATAAAGAGAGTCTGTTTGCTAGATTCCAAGGATGAGGAAGAATACATTTGTTATTTAATGAAATTTGGAACTATCCTAAAGCATGCATACATGTAGGTTACATGTATTTGATGATTTTAGAAGAGATTTTATTGCATATAGTAATCCCTTATCTGTTGTCACTTTGCTATATAATATATTCAAGAGTTTTGGAGTAATCCCCCCTTTAAAACTCCAATATGCACTACTTGATATCGACAATGTAACCCTTTTGTCTCAATAATCTGTTTTTACATATATCGTTTTCGACTGATACATAAAGAGAAGGCTTGCAACTCTTTTCTCGTCATTCGCCTCACCTCGCTTAAACTTCGCGCAATTATTTATTCAAAGCATAATAAAACATAGAATTTGCATACATCAATTTTGTTACAAATTCCTCTTCCTTTTCATATTTTCATTTAATTTTTAAGTGCCAGCGATTTGTGAAAATTTCGATTAAATCGCTCGCATCTAGGCGAAATTTTGTTAGTGTGCAACAAAATTATTGATGTATGCATATTCTATGTTTGCTTTGAATAAAGAATTAGCAGGTACATAGTGCATATTAGAGTTCAAAAATAGGGAAAAAGTGTGTCGACCCCTGATTTAAAAAAAAATGGAGGGGGGGGGGGGCAACCCCAAGTGCCTGTGCTGAAGACCGTCGGAACGGGGAGTGCGTTGGATACGAACCCCTTTAAAAAAAAAAACACTCTAAAATATCTACTTTTTGAAACAAAAAGATAAGGTTTAAATTTTTCGGAAATTGAACAGAAAGTTAAGGTTTTAAATCCGAGAGAGAAAAATCTGGCTCAGAGGAGGGTGTACCCTCTCATCCCCTTTCCAGAAACATGGTAACGACCCTGATTTCTAAAAAGACCTGTTGGACTTCAAACAAAGAACGGAGTTTAAGAATGAACAGTTTATCTCAATTGTTAATTCTACATGTATTTACATTATGACATTTTTTCTACAATTAAACGTTTTAGAATATTTCTGCACATTTTCATATGATAAATGTATTTGTAAGTGCCTTATAAAAGTGTGCATATAATTATCCCAATCGTTCATAAAATCAAATCTTAAAGGAATTAAGTGCTGAATTAAGGTCTAAGAGATGAATAACCTTGAAAGAAATAAGATCAAACCAATTTAACGAATAAATTTAGTCAAATTTTATTGAGTATTTTTGGATTTGGAAATTGCGAGTCTCTCTCTCTCTCTCTTTTTCAATAAAAATGGGACAATTGCAAACTGTAAATATACATAATTATAGTTATCAACTTCTAGCTAGCGCCGACCTTCCTTTTACTCAAATGTATGACTTTTCCTTTTCAATGTCGCTGAGTTTACAAATTTCTTAAATAGTTTCAATCTTCAAGCACATGTTACATTGTACTCCATTATTCGTACATGTATCAATTTTCTTCATATGACAAGAAATCGATTTATATACATGAGAGTCAGACCAAACAACTTATTTTAGGTATGTGATTTATGCTTTAGTGCAATATGCGGTCTATTTGTTTGTTTGTATGTTGTTTAACGTCCTTTCTCGAGAATTTTTCACTCGTATGGAGACGCCACCACCGATGGAGAGCTGCAAATTTTGTCCTATACTCGGCACTTACGGCCATTGAGCAGTGAGGGATCTTTTTCGTGCCAGCACCTACTGCGACACGGGACCTCGGTTTATACGGTCTCATCCGAAGGACCGGTCTCCACGTCCCACAGGTGGATTCGAACCCGCGACGTAAGGATCAACTCCTTACTTCGCGACTCTAGAGCAGACGCTCTAACCACTGCGCCACGCGGGCGACAATATGCGGTCTGTGAGTTCAAAGTAAAGAAAGACAACTCTGACCAAAAAAAAATTACTAATCACAAGTCTTTAGCTCACTGGTCAGGGATGCGATGTTAAGGTGTCCGTCGTCCGTTCGTATGTCCGTCTGTCTATAAACAATTTTTAAAAATGCTACTCCTTAAATCAACCTATTATTGTAAATTTAAAGATACTTTTCGTCCTTATGTACATTGTGTAATGTTTTGGCAAAAAGCTCGGGTGAGCTTTGCTGAAAAATGTTTGTCCGTCTTCTGTTAATTTTTACATCAATTTTTCTCAGGAAGCATTTTGCCAATTTCAACCAAGCTCCCTACAGAGCATCGTTTGGTAAAGAGGATTCTAGTATCTTTATATGAAGGGCAGGTACCTGTCTTTTCAAGAAGACATGATTTAGAAGTAGTAAAAGTAGTGAAAACGGGGTTTGGTCTTTTATATCATGAACCACTACGCACATGAAACCTTACTTGAAAACGCCCTTATGTAGAACAGATTCTATGTGTTCAAATCGTGAATTCAAGGACTATATTTAGTGCCAAGTAATATATTTTTAAATAATTCCGTCTTTATTTCCAACTTGTAAAAAGTTTACAAATTTCATGATTTAGTTGACCTTGAAAAGTGTCTTTAGGCTTTTAAAAAATTACTTACCGGTATATAATTCCCTTCAAAAATCTGAATACTTATTGAAGCCGCACCATAGCCTCAAATGCCATGATTTGAACAAACTTGGATCTGCACTTCGTTGGAGTGACTGGGTATTAATGAAGTACGACTAATGATCCTGCTTTTTATAAGAAGGATTATAAAGATTTTTTCCTCTACACATACATTTTACATATTAAAACGTTGAGGGCATTCTTTCTCCATGATTTGGAGTCTTTTAAATCGGCTCTATATATCCGATGTTGATTGCATGTTAATATGACATAATTATACATGTAATAGCTTAGATGAAATTTTTTTGAAGATGCTGTCCTACATATTTCTTTGTTAAACTTTGATCCCATTTGTCGCCCCACCGTCCCCTGATTTGACCAATTTTTAATCTATACTAATATTTCAAATTTGGAATATGGAGAGGTGGTATAGAGGAAAGATGAATGCCAACATTTTTTTTTCATCTTGACCTATTAATAAAGTCAAAGTCAATCTTTTACATGAAAATATAGTCTAGGTCATAACTTGAGAACTTTTTGACATTAGGATTTCAAACTTGGAACAAGGAAGGACAACACTGAGACTAAATGCACTTCATCAAAATATTTGACCTTGAACACTTTCTTCTTTCAAGGTCAAATTAAGAAAAACACGACTAGACCATTTTTAAGATCCTTTTGACATGAAGACTTGAAATTTTGTACACAGAATTTGAGCTGAGATGCACTGCAGTTATTATTTTTGACCCTGATCATATATTTGCACTCTTTTATGTTGGTAAAGAAGGGGAGACGTGTTTTTTTTTTTTTTTTTTTTGCTAAAAAAAAACAATACCCACTTCTTTATTTGAACTGTTACTTATCGTACTATAAGAATTTGAATTGAATTTTTGTTTAACAGTGGCATGTAGAAATGCAGATTGATGGCCCTATTTTATTTCCAATTCACACTTTTTGCTTATAATAAACTGCAATTATGATAATGTTTGTAAAATAATATTCATAATTACTACTCCCTTTCGAAAAATATAATGCGTTGCATGTATATTTCTTTGTAGATATTTTTGTTGTCACGTTCCGGACAAGAAATATAACCCAGATATTCCATTTTTTTTGCTCCAACAACGAAACTGGAAAGCCTGGTCGGTAATGCTGTATATTGCAGTCCATTATAGAACAACAAAGTTCTTTTTCAAAAAGTCTTTTCCCATTATATTACTTCAATTGTATGATTTTCTTTTAGAAGTAGTTTTGAGTCAAGGAGAATATAATAAAACCGAGAACCATTGTTCTGAAAAAGATCAAATAAAAGAATCTAATGAATACTGGATTAATAATAGTAAGAATAATACTTTTCGGTAGAATATTAACCTTGAAAGTATGAATGTTAAAGTCTCAATTCAGCATCAGATGCCTTTCAATTTAATCAAACGTCCAAACCAAAAGTCATATCTTAAACTTTTCGTAGCAGAACGATGAAATTAATTACATTTGATACTCTGGAGGAAAGGTATTTTCCCTTTTTTGACTTTAAATTTTAGAATCAAAAGTTAGAATTAAATTTAAGGACGAGACTTGTGGCACCTGTGAATTTACAACGAACACAGGTAAGTGTATATATCTTGATTTTCTTTTTAAAAATGCGACAAAATGAGAATAGATAATGAAAGAAAGGAACAAAGCAGTAGTTTATGGATTCATACTTGAGTTATAATCGATATAATTCAAATAGTTTTAATAATTATTGAAGGTGAAGCCATGACATTTTCCTTAGGTGATATATGTAAGTATTAAATAACGTATAATATCTTTTCTATAAGCTGGATTTAAACCTACTAAAAATACTCTTACAAAACAAAACACATTAATGAGAACTTTTATATCGCTACAGCTTCTGATGATGTACCTAAACGAGAAAATCCGACAGTTATCATGTTATCTGTCTTTGCTGCAGAAATGTTCATTATCCTTGTATTTCTTGGTGTATGGCAATTAATGAGAAAGTAAGTAAAATTTTATTTTATTTACACCCTTACTGCTCTTTTCGAACATCAAAATATTGGACAAGCAGTTGTTTTACCAAAAACAATAACATCAAAACTTTTCAACACTTTATACAACTATTCCCCCACAATAAATTAAAGTCCAGGCTTTCTGACATCATAGACAACTGCTTTTTAAATAAAAATGGAACTCGTAAATTTACTTACCTTGTCATTGGTCATGTACAAAATCATTTTAAAAAAACCCACAACATTCTGATTGTACACACAAATACTCCTAATTTAAAAGACGCCTGAGGTTCTGATTGACAATATCTACGTAGTTTTTGGAGATCAATTCTATCATCAATTCATGTTTGTGCTAATCGTGTCCCATTATTAGCATTCATATAAAGCAGAATTTTTTCAAAGAAGAAGTCTCCTGTTGTGGCCTTCAATTCAACATTTTAGATATATCGAAGACGTTTTATCAATTAACAATATTCATTTTCATTCCTACGTTGATTGATATATCCCTTTGATGCCGAAATAAGAGATACAACATTCCAACACATCTGTCAATTATTGAGATATTTTACTAGAAAAATATGTTAATTGTAACATAACAATAAAACTTTATGATAAACGTGATGACTTCAACTTTTCTATCGTCAACTTCCCTTTATTTACGAAGCAATATCCCCTTATTACCTACATAGGGAGTTTATGTCTCCCAGTTGATTAGATACGCAAGCGCATTTCCCATCGGCGAAAAAATTCTAAAACGAGGCAAGGTTTTGACAAATAAGTTGATGGAAAAAGAACAACAGTCTCGTTTAAAGTCAAAATTTTGCAAATTCTATGGTCGATACAATGACCTTGTCAACATATACAATCTATCATTATGTCGAATGTTGACTGACTTTTTTATATCAATGGTTTAATCCTTATTTTCACAATGATTTTCTTCTGTTTACCCAATTATGACGAGGAGCACACGACACCGCACACACAGGGGATACTTACTGCTCCATTGCACCTGATCCCATCTCTCTTATGTTTTAGATGTCCGTGTTTCCTCTGCTCTAAATTTGTATTGCATCAATGGACTTTTCAGCTTGATTGCTGTTCGTAATCTTTATCTTTCATTTTATTAAAATTTGAAGGGAATGATCAGACTTTCAGTATTATATATTCTCCACAGAGATAAAGCATAATCTTGTTATAACTCTGTAGCTTTGTGGATCAGCAGATAGGATTAGACAATGTTGAGGACAAAATTTCAAGGTTACTTTAAAATAATAACTATTCCATTTTCATGATTACTGTAAAGACACTAAATGACTAGTTGAAAAAAACATTATCCATTTGGGGAGATAGGGTACATGTAGTATGGGATACCTCCATGTTATGACGTACTTCTGTTTGAAGTTTTGATTTGGTTGAGTGTTTATTATTTGATCAAAGAAGTAGGTAGGGTTTGGGCTCTATTGTGCCCTAAAAATTCAGTGTTTTAAGAGAGTTATGAAATCAGCTTAAATATGAGTTGAGTATAGGAATTTGATAAATCATAAAAGAAAAGGGCATGAAGGAGGACCATTCTGGAGATATGACGTCATTAATTTGGTAATGACATTCCTAAGTTTTAAACAGAAAACCTCAAAATGACTCATTTCTGGGGTTATATTCCTTAAGAAAAAAGTGTCCACAGCCGTCGCCCACTTCAATTTTGGATATATTGTATAAAATTCTTTAAAAAATCATATTTATCAAAATTTTTGTGTGCGATGCATGTGCTCTACACATGTATTATCTGAAAGAAATATCCACTGAAAATTGATGTCTTCTGCAACTTTTTAAGAAAATGCATGAAAATGCACAAGTTCATGACGTCACAATTAGCATTTAGGAGGTTATGTGAGAAAAACAATTAATATGTACTTTCTACATGGAATTTCAAGGATTCAGAAAGGTTTAAAATTCTTATGTTTCATATTTTAGAAAATACAGGGCCAGATTTGTATTGAAAGCGTAGCTTGTTCTTTGTAAATACACGGTTTAAAAGAAATATCTGAAACTATTTAAGGTCAGACAACATGTTCCTCGAAAATATATAATTTTTCCCACGAATTTGTTACTGAAGTATTGCTACTTAAAGAAGTTTCCTCACCAAATTGAGGTAACTTACCAGGCCTTTGGGCAAGATACCAAAGGGTGATATTTCTTATATTATCCTTATTATACCCCACGCAACAAGTTAAGTCAGCCAGTCAGTCCGTCAGCCCTTTTTTTTTTGTCAGCGCCACTCCTCATAAACCGCTGCACAGATTTTCGTCAAACTTTGCAGTTATTTAGGACAATGTGTAGATATGCATATTACCAGGACATTCCGATTCCTTTAATTTTTTTTTTTTTGGAAATTTCGGCATTTCTCAACTTAGATTTTTGGCCATATCTTGAATATAGAGATGAACAGATTGTCAGCGCAACTCCTCATAAACCGCTGCAAAGAATTTCGTCAAACTTTGTAGATATTTAGGACACAGTGTGTAGATGTGCATATTACCAGAAAATTCCGATTCCATTATTTTTCTGGGAATTCTGGCACTTTTCAACTTAGATTTTTGGCCATATCTTGAATATAGAGATGAACAGATTGTCAGCGCAACTCCTCATAAACCGCTGCAAAGAATTTCGTCAAACTTTGTAGATATTTAGGACACAGTGTGTAGATGTGCATATTACCAGAAAATTCCGATTCCATTATTTTTCTGGGAATTCTGGCACTTTTCAACTTAGATTTTTGGTCATATCTTGAATATAGAGATGAACAGATTGTCAGTGCAACTCCTCATAAACCGCTGCAAAGAATTTCGTCAAACTTTGCAGATATTTAGTACACAGTGTGTAGATGTGCATATTACCAGGAAATTTCGATTCCTTTATTTTTGCACTAAGAGTTTTGCCTATTATTGAAGAAACTTTCCAGCTAGGTAATAAGGAAATCCACTGGAATCATTTTTTGTAATGAAATTTTATGTGAAATATTTTATGACCTTAAAAGACCCCTATTGATTTTGAGATCAAAATATTAATGATTTAACACACAAACATACACAAAATCTTGGATAGTTCTCACCCTCTTCTCAAATTGGTGCTGCTTTATCTAGAAACTTCAGCCCAATTAAATTTGTAACATACAAAGATTTGAATGTCCTTATATGCAAGAAGTCTTGATGTGATGATTTTATGCAAGTAATGCCCCTTTTTGAATTATACTGTGTATTTAAAATGCACTGTGCCATTCATTACGTGTTGCATTGTCGAGTTTTGGGGGAGCGTGGGGTATGTGAGCTTGCTCACTTTTTCATGGGTAATCTTTTGAATTTCTAACGTAAACAATTTTTGGTGTACTTACTTTTTAAAACATATTGAAAACAATTTAGAAATCTCAAGAGAATGACAATTATGAATAATATTTGATATAATATCAAGGTATATAAAACATGTATTTCAGCAGGAATGTGTCGTCTGACCTTAATGCCCGTTTACACTAGTTGGCATTTTATTTGAAATAGAAAAAATTCCAAAATCTGAAACTACTAATATTTGTACTATGAACATTGAAAAAGCAAACCCTATAAAAGATAGTATAAACATATCTGAAACTATTTAACGCACGTTTACACTAGTTGGCATTTTATTTAAAATAGAAAAAAATTCCATAGTCTGAAACTACTAATATTTGTACTATGAACATTGAAAGAGCAAACCCTATTAAAGATAGTATAAACATTGCTGCTTTTGAACACTTTTAAGCAGAAGATGTACATGTATTTTCATTGTTTGAGTAGCAGTACAGCACTTGTGTGCGATGAGGCATGGATAAGTATGATTAATTCAACATTGTAGGAATTATAACCGATCAATTAGGAAGTTAACTAGAACTGGTCTTTGTTATTTCATTCAAAAAGTAACTGTTTGGTCATGCATAGCCTTAAAACTTTAATTTTCGAAGTTTGATTGCAATTACTCTGAAGGAAAATCCTACCACTGCAGAAAGGTGCGAATGTTTTGGAAATAATAAAATAAAGATGCTTATAGATTCAAACGAGATGTGTTTGTGAAACACTGATGCCCCTTTATGGCAGCTTTTGGCGAAGGTAAAAGTCTCTCAAATGCAACTCAAAATCCAGGCAAAAAGATAAAAAATTTGGTACACAAAGAAAGGTGTTTTCTCGAGGAATATACCAGTGAAATTTGAAAGCCCTAGCTGCAACTGTTCAAAAGTTATGGCGAAGGTTAAAGTGTTTTAAAAGTAAGTAAAACGTCAAGGTCAAGGTTAAAGTTGTTGGTATCCAAAGGTATGTCTTGTCACAAGGATTGCATATGTGAAGTATTAAAGCCCTAGTACCAACCATTCAAAAGTCATGGCCAAGGTTAAAGTTTTTCAAAAGTAGGTCAAACTCCAATGTCAAGGTTAAAGGGTCAAAGTGGTTGGTATCCAAAGGAACGTCTTGTCTCAAGGATAACATATGTGAAGTATGAAAGCCCTAGCACCAACCATTTAAAAGTCATGGCCAAGGTTAAAGTTTTTCAAAAGTAGGTCAAACTCCAATGTCAAGGTTAAAGGTCAAAGTGATTGGAATCCAAAGGAATGTCTTGCAACAAGGATAACATATTTGAAGTATGAAAGCCCTAGCACCAACCATTCAAAAGTTATGGCCAAGGTTAAAGTTTTTCAAAAGTAGGTCAAACTCCTAGGTCAAGGTCAAGGGTCAAAGAGGTTGATATCCAGAGAAAGGTCTTGTCACAAGGAATACACATGTGATGCTTGAAACCCCAAGCACCAACTGTTCAAAAGTTATGGCCAAGGTTAAAGTTTTTCGAAAGTAGGTCAAACTCCTATGTCAAGGTCAAACGGTCAAAGTTGTTGGTATCCAAAGGAAGGCCTTGTCACAAAAAAACACATGTGAAGTTTGAAACCCCAAGCACCAACTGTTCAGAAGTAATGGCCAAGGTTAAAGTCTCATAAAATTTTGCAAAAGTGGGTCAAACTCCAAGGTCAAAGTCAAAAGGTCAAATATGATGGTACCCATAAAAGGTCTTGTCACAAGGAATACACAAGTGAAATATGAAAGTCATAGCTCCAACCAATCAAAAGTTACGGGCATGGTTAAAGTTGACGACAGACAGACAAACAGACAGACAAGATAAAAATAATATACCCCCTAGGTCTTTCGATCCGGGGGGCATACAAACACGCCTTTTTGGATGTTTTAGAACTTTTTAATTCTTTTACTACTTTTGGCTTCTTTATTGACTCTTACAGTCGTTTGACCAGTTCCGAATTATGATCAGTCCCGAATAATAAATAATTTAAGAGCTAATAATTAATAAATTCAAAAGTGTAAAAATAAATTCATACATATGGTATGAAGGTTTATCTGTGAGTGTTAGAATTATGTGAAGTTTTGATTTTTTGCCGTCAGTTTGTGTTCGCTATCGTACTTGAATCAGGTGACATACTTTGACAATGGAACAAACCCGAATCACTGCGACGCGTTTGCTTCAGAAAAGTATCTGTAAATACGTCAATTCTTCACATAAAACAACATTTCAACTATCAAAAGTAAGTTTCATATGTATTTTAACAAATACCAAAGCTTGCCGAAAATAAATAATTAGACCACCGGAAGATATCGGAATATTTTCGTGTTGTCATTTTACTAAATCCGAATACCCATTATAAACACTATATAATACGTTAGTTTTCTGTTATTTCTTCATTGTAAATGTGAATGTTATTTTTCTTTATCCTTTGGAAATACCATTTACTTACTGGTAAGTATTTACTTTCACTTTTCCTAGGCATGTCTATTGATAATGTATGGGACGGATATTCTTAATTTAGGGTCGATTTGCATGGGAACCGCTAGGGTTTTCGGAACTCGTCGGCTTATTCTTAACTATTTAAATGAGTACCCATGTTAACTTGCTAAAATAAAAAAAGTTTTTTTGAAAGGCTGAACTTTATGAAACTTCATTTTATTCCGCAAGTCATTGAACTACTTTGACAAACAAATTAGATTTTGAAATAATGCCTCATATATTCATAGCATCGCCTAATTGGTTCCCTATTCGCAACTGGTCAAACGACTGTACGTTACAACTCTTATTTGTTCTAGCTCTCAGCTCTTGAGTATTTTGTATTTTTGATAATTTTAGGATTTATCTTAATAACTGTTGTTTATATAAATTGGGCATGTAGTCTGGTGACATTCATATTAAAAACTCTATATATGATCAAAGTGTATTAAAAAACGTTTGAAATAGACACAAGATCTTACTATTGGTTTACAATATTTCACATATGTATTCCCTGTTACACGTCCTCCCTTTGGATACCAGTATTTTTTACCTCCCTTTGGATACCAGTATTTTTTACCTCTTGACCTTGAAGTTTGACCTACTTTCGAAAAAAAAAAATTAACCTTGCCCATAGCTTCTGAACGATTGGTGCTAGGACTTTCATATTTCATAAGGGTATTCCTTTTGCAAAGACCTTTCATTGTTTTTTTTTTTACCTAAGAGTTTAACCTACTTTTGAAAACTTTAACACTGCCCATAACTTCTGAACATTTGTAATAGGGTTTTCATATTTTTTTCATGTGTATTCTCAGTGGCAAGGCCTTTCTTTTGGCACCAACATTTTCTACCCTTTGACATTTAGCCCTCTTTTGAAAACACATTAACATTGCCCAAAACTTATGAGTTATTGGTGCGAAAGCTTTCATATTCAAAGCGTATTCCTTATGATAAGTCTTTTCTTTCGATACCAGGATTCTTAACCTAAAAACCTTGAACTTGGAATTTGACCTACTTTTGAAAATTGCAGCTAGGGCTTTCAAATTTCACAGGTATATTCCTCGAGACAAGACCTTTCTTTGGGTACCAGCATCTTTCATCTTTTGGCCTGGATTTTGACTTGCATTTGAGAAACTTTAACCTCCGCCATAAGCTGCTATACGGGGGCATCAGTGTTTCACAAACACATCTTGTTCCAGGATATTATGCTCAGAGGGTATTCATGGTCCAGGATGTAAACGTATTTAGTGTCTTACATGTACATTGCCTTACCAACTACGCTTGCCCGTAGTTCTGTCCGTTGACCAATTAACGCTAACATGGAACCACCCTCCTATCCAAGATTTTTGTGCTCAGTTCCCATCTCAGCACCTCAGGAATTCTAGCCCTAAGCTCTCTTACTGATCTACTACAAAGTTCAAAATTTTATGGCTCTTTGTCAAAAATATTAATACAGTAGTACCTGCATTTCTGTTCTAATTTTATTACTTAATATCGAGGGTTTAGTTGGTCTATTCTGATCAATTAAATTACAAAATAATTTACCAATTTATATTTCATTGCACCGACATCAAAATCCAATTTGTTCTCTCAAGATATTATTAGTATATGAAATTATAGTCTCTTTTCCTAGTCACTGTACATTTAGTACACAGTTAATGTCCATCCTGATTAATAAACCTTTGATTTCATTTGTCTGTCACTAATAAGTAACACTATTTGTTTAAAGAAGCCTTAGCACCAATGTTAATCGCTAAGAAGTTTGATGCAAGGTTAAAGCTTTTCAAAGTACATACGTCAAAGTCAAGATGTCTGAAATATTTTCCCCTAAGAAAGTTCTTGGCACAAGGTCAAATGGTTAAAGATACTGGTATCCTGTCGCAAGGAATACACATGTGAAATATGAAAGTCCTAGCACATCTCAAAAGTTATGTCCAAAGTAAAAGCTGGCAAAGTTGTTTCAAAAATAGGTTAATATCCAAGGTTAAGGCCAAGAGGTAAAAAAAATGTTTGAACTAATAGAAATGTCTTTTTTGAAAAAAAGGAAAGAAGCTTTTTTTGAAAATAAAGTTTTACGTGTTGGATAGCATACTGTAACTGAATATATAAAAAGAACGTTCGGGAGAAAGTACTGGAGAGATGTTTCTAATTTTTTGGATGTATTCTCGTCTTCCAAATAACATTTTTTTGTATATTGCCCAATATTACCAATTGTTTTCAAATATCATTTTCAGATATCGATGTTTTAACGATAAAACAGAAATGGACTTCTTTGACGTTAGGTCCGGGAGAAATATTATAACCGACACGCCAGGATTATTCCCAAGTCCACCATTATCACATATATCTTCTAGAAGATCTAGTAAAATATCCGAACACCCTTCAAATTCTTCAGCAGAGGAGAATAGGGAGGAACCGGGAAATTCGTTGGAAAATGAAGCTGATACAGTTCCGTTACCTGTTGAAGATCCCGTTGTTCCAACAGTAGAAAAGGGTTCACCTTTTACCAAGGTGAAGGACAAAACAAAACGTTTACCACCTCAAACACTCCCTAAACCCATTCGCAAACAATTAGAAAAAATGTTAGATCATCCAAAGCTAAATGTGAATTCTTCTCCACTTACAACCGAGGAATTACCACGAACACAAATGGTTAAAGCTCCTCAAAATATACCAGCTATTCCTGGTTTTCTACTGGAACTCGAACAGAAGCAAAGATGCATTTTACGTACTAAAATTAAAAACAATTTTGATCGAGACAGCCGTATTGTATCTACTGAGATAGAACATATTGAAGTATTAAATAAAAAATGCAAGCGTAGCACATACATGGACATGTCTGGAATGGAAAAATTGAGGCGACACAATGACGAGGAGGGTATATACGAAAATATGACGGCCTTGAGACGCATCGGACAAATGATTGGTCGAGCTGACAAAAAGAACGAACATATGTGTAGTCGAATAATAGGAAAAGAAGAAGCTCATTACTATGAGATAGGAAGTGCCGAGTGCGAATCTATTCTAGGGAATTTAAAAGACAGAAACCCAGAAAGACCTGTTATATGGAATGTAAAAACGAGAGAGAGAGAATATAACTATATTACAAAGATTGATGCAAGAGAAGAGGTTAACAGTAGGAAAAGGTGGACAAAATTTCGTACATCAAAACACTCTTCTCTAGAACCCCACTACATTTCTGTATTCTTTGACGATAGATCCAACACAGATAGTATCGGCACGGGATCGGATTTCGATCGTCTCTCTTATGTTTCTGCTCTTGATGGGATCTTTAGAAGTTCTACAAATGTGCATGAAAGTACGCACAATGCACACTTCGCATACGTATTTGATGGACTACAAGACGCAAAACTGCCTGTAGGGCCCTCTCATGAGTTCACAAATAAGGGTTTTGAAGAGTCTTTAGAACATAGCCAATCATGTGTAAAGAGGTTGTCAATAGAGAGCTCAGATTCCGGACTAAGTGATGAAGACTCAAAAAACAATGATTGCCTTTTTTGCCAATATAATGAAAAAGTTGTTTATGTTAACATATCTGAATTTCATAAACCAGACATTCCACCGCGGGGAGGAGGCCTTAAAGCGTTGTACAGACGAGGAAGTGCTAAATCTAAGATTGTGAAGAACGAAGAAATTAGGGTTCGGGTAGTAGGTAACGAGTCAGAACAAGGTAGATCAACAATGTACATCGAGTGAAATTGTGATTTTTTAAAATGATGAAATTATACATGTACATTTGCTACATAACTGTTGAAATATATTTAAGTTTTGAAATGAATTTTATACTGGTTGTGTGTTCAGCATTTTCATTAGATGAAAACCTGACTATTTTCATTTCATATATCACTTATATTTAATGTAAGAATCAAAAATGATTATTTACAATATATTTCAATATCGTGATTTTAAGTGTGATGGCTGGGTGGACCGTACCTTCTATTGAAAAAAAAATTTAAAAATATGCATACACGTATCTGATTCGCTTTTTCCATGCGCTCAATCTCGTGTGAGATATATATAGTCTGCCATTGCTTAGACACTATTTTATATATATATATATATATATATATATATATATATATATATATATATATATATATATATATATATATATATATATATTATGATGTCACCGGTAGGTATCAAATTATGTATCTTCCTTTAACCTTACATGTATGTAAGATTGTTACATGTTGAATTTATTGTACATCTTATTGGTACATGTAGGAGTGATTTATTTATTATAACTGAATATATTGTATATCCACAGAAAGAGTACCCAGTTATTCCCACTTATTATTTATTCTAATTATTTATTCTTGACTCCAGAATGAGTCATGTTTTCGAACAAATTTTCATTTGAGTAGCTATTTATATAATGTTCTCATTCTGGAGGTCGCTTCACTTTATGGTTTAAGAAAGGTTTAGGCAAGGAAAAAAATAAATGAAATTATAATACTCCAGATTGATTGATCTTCTTATAAAATGCTTGACCTGTTTCTTAAAACTTCTACCTGGAATACTATATTCCGTACTACTTAAGAATTTGTTTTTAAAAAATGAACCTGCGCTGCCCTACACTACACGATCATTGAGAATGGAAGTGAGATACAGTTATATGGACATTAGTTTATTAGAGGATATGTGAGGGTGTGTACATGTATGTGTAAAAATTGTGAAAAATAACTTTCTTCCATGAACTGGTAACAAAATCAATTTAGCTGAAAGAATACATACGAGGGTCGTTCAATAAATAATGTTTAAGGTCATCTAAAAATATTAAAAACACGTAAAGCAGATTCTGAATACTTTCAACCCCTCAAAGTATTACCTGTTAACATTTTCAAAATCTAAAAAATTCTTAAGTCTTTGAATCCATGACCAGAAAACCTCAGCATATTCATCTTTAGGGATGTCCTAAAGACACTGATGAATAGCAATTCCCATTACATATTTGAAATAGTAACGTCTTCCTCAGATTGTTTTCATGCGTTTTTATGAATAAAAAGATATTACAATATGGCCAAGATCTAGCGAGTATGGGGGATGGATCATCATTCTAGCCAAGGGTTTCTGATCCACTACTCTCCTTACAAACCCTTGGCCTATGGTGCTATCAAAATTCGGGATATTTTTCTTGAGATGTGGTTGTAGTAAATGATATTGTTCGACCAAACAGCGAATGTTATTGTAAATGACAATATCTCCTTTTGGGATATAACGTGAGTCTTTAGTTTAAAACACAAGTAAACAACGTTCCGTAAGATAAGGTGCTATTCTATAAATAGCTTTTTGTCATCCAGCTTTCGGTAGATGCATGTGCACATTATCTCACCAGGAATTCATTTTGCACCTTACATGACAAAACATCGCTGTATCTTTTTATGTTAATTATTCTTTAAATACATGTACATTTATTTTTTAATAGCTTTTATTTCTGTCGATGACGCAATCTGTGCGTATGTGGTAAGATTTGAGATCACGTGAGGTGAACAATTCCGACTTTTGACAGCGTCATAGGCCACGGGCTTGTGAGGTGAGTAGCGGATCAGAAACCCTTGGCTAGCGAAGATGAGGAAACCTAAGCTCTGTAAATGTTCTTTTCTTCAAAATTTCATTTATTTCTCTATGCGTATTTGCAGCGGCGTTGTCAGGTACAGAAAATTACCCTGGGGACCGGAATACGTTCTATTTCCATTAGTGAACTCTTCAAAATTAGAGGCGCGTTTGGTCGTCTGAATGGGACAGCATGGCGTTGCGGATAATACAAAACATGCCAATCTCAATCCAATTTTTAATGTTAAATGTATTTGTCATTCCAATTGAAGAATAGAAGAACTAAAAGACATATGTAAGAGAGCGAGAATCCTAAATTTATCATGCATTAATAAAAAATATATTTCCGAGGCATGTGTATTGTATTTAGATGTACCATACGATAAATAGATACATACGATCAACAATAGATATAAATTGATATCGTTGTCATTCCTACTCTTGATGTATATAAAGTCCACAACAATAAAATATTTCATTTGCATTTTCTTAGGATTTGTTCATCGACATTCAACATATTGTCTACATGTTTACGTTACGTTTGTCCCTGAAATCCCGCGAGATTTGTACATTTTCCGACTTTTTCACAAAAGAGCGCACTAAGAAGTATAACTCTTCCATAGTGGAAATAGAACGTATTCGGAGTTCCTTTGCAGGGAATCTGCTCAACTTTCAACAGTGTAGTTTCAACAAAAACATTTACCATTGATGGTCCTTTCTTTGGGTATATATATACATGTTTACTGGACCTCTTAAATAAAAAGAAAACTAATAAAACGTGTTTGGAACCCTTGCTTCTCTTTGCAATAATAGGACGACAGCTTTCTCTCCGAATCCACAATTTTAAAATTAATCTTCCTTTCCGGCTTTAAAAAGTGCACCCACGTTTCGTCATTTCTATCCCCCGTTTATCAAATCTTTTTTTTTTTTTTTTAATAAAAATGTTTATTTTGAAATAGACCATTGGCACATTTTAAGCGTGTTTTTTCATAGGCATTTGTAAGTAAAATATGGCACCCATCTTATAGAATTTCTGTTAATCTGATTCATTTTCTTTAACTGCTGTGGTGATGAAATTTCAAGTGTCTTAGAAACGTCTCCCACTGTAAATCTGGCATTTTCAGATATCATATTGTTCACAGTATCGATATATATTGGTGTCCTTACAGATTTGGACGAGTTTAACTGCGATAGATCTTTTAATTCTTCTTTTCTATTATAGGATTTCGGAATCCATCTGAAAACAATACAGCGTTAAAGACTATTCTTTCCTCATATCTAAACCATATCTTTGATATGGGTTCTTCAGCAATTTATGTAATAAAGTAAACTTTTCACATACGCACTCATTTTCATCTTCTTGGCAGAGATCATTTTAATCATTTTAAAACAATTTTTACCTCAGTGCTGTGACATTGCTAACTTTAAAAAGTAAATTCCTTTGCGAAGACAATAAGGAAAAGCATGAGGTTTCTGAGAATAGGAGTTCTTTAAAAGAACTTTTTAACTGTTAAAGAATAAAATTGAATACTTCTACATTTATTTTGATAAACTTTATTTTGCATTATTAATTGAATAACCATCGTATCTCTGATAATATTAACATAACTACTCAATGCTAACATTAGTTTTTCAAAGAGAAATGTAGTAAACATAGTTTTTAATTAAAATTAATACCTACCACTTCACTTACATTTACAATTACGTAAACATATTTTCTGTCAAGGATGTTTGTTCCACAGCCAGGAACAATAACTCTTATTTTAAATAGTCACAAAACGAATCCTGGAAATAAAATTTTTGTCGTGCAACAATTTGATTTGATTTGATCTGAACATATTTTATTTTAATAAATATATACAAGGGGATTGGGTACCAGTTCTGTGCAACAATATATTCGAGAAGTGGTGTAAATCAGATGTGATACTAAAAAATTCCAAGGAACTTTTGGAATATTTGAAATCACAAAATTTTACCAAAATCAACAAGTGAACATAAAAACTCACGACTTTTCAACTTTATATACAGATATTCCCCACGATAAATTAAAGTCCAGACTTTCTGACATCGTTGACAGCTGCTTTTGCAATAAAAATGGAACTCGTAAATTTACTTACCTTGTCATTGGTCTTTTGCAAAATTACTTTGTTAAAAAACAATCTGATTGTACACATAAGTACTCTGAAGTTGACATTAAAAAGATGCTCGAGTTTCTGATTGACAATATCTATGTGGTTTTTGGAGACCAGGTCTTCTAACAATCTATTGGAATTCCAAGGGGTACCAATTGAGCCTCGTTATTAGCAGACCTATTTTTGTATTCATATGAAGCAGATTTTGTTCAAAATCTTTTACGTGAAAAGAAGAAAACACTTGCTGTGGCCTTCAACTCGACATCTAGATATATCGACGACGTATTGTCAATTAACAATGGTTATTTCCATTCTTATGTCGACATGATATATCCCAGTGAGCTTCAGATAAAAGATACCACAGAATCTGACACATCTGTTCCATATTTGGATATTTTATTAGAAAAAGACGTTAATGGTAATCTAACAGCAAAACTTTATGACAAACGTGATAACTTTAACTTTTCAATCGTCAACGTCCCTTACTTATGCAGCAATACACCCTTATCACCTACATACGGGGTTTATATCTCTCAGTTGATTCGATACGCCAGAGCATGCTCTACGTATAAACAATTTCTAAAACGAGGTAAGTTATTGACAAACAAGTTGATGAAACAAGAATATCAGCAATCTCGTTTTAAGTCATCATTTCGTAAGTTCTATGGTCGATTCAATGACCTTGTCAGCAAATATAATCTATCATCAAGTCAAATGTTGACTGACTTTTTTCATACAAATTGTATGACCATTATTTACACATTGAATTGTTTTCCGTTATTTTTCTGTTATATCCCGATCATGACAAGGAGCACACGGCGGGTGTGACCGGTCGGCATGAGATGCTCACTCCTCCATGGCACCTGATCCCACCTCTGATGTCTGAAAGGTCCGTGTTTGGTCTACTCCTATTTTGTCATGTTTAATGGACTTTTGAGCTCGAATACTGTGCGTTATCTCCACATATTTCATTCTCAAAACCTAATTCGCCCTCTCCCTACATGGAACAAATATGTCAACAAAATTGAAACTTATGTTACATGTGACATACACTTGTATAGAATAAATTCAAATATTCACATTTGCTGTG